GCGTGTGCGTGGTGCGTGTGTGCGTGTGCGTGTGCGTGGTGCATGTGCGTGTGCGTGTGCGTGTGTCTGTGATTGCGCGTGTGCGTGTGCGTGTGCGTGGTGCGTGGTGCGTGTGCGTGTGCGTGTGCGTGTGCGTGTGCGTGTGCGTGTGCGTGTGCGTGTGCGTGTGCGTGTGCGTGTGCGTGTGCGTGTGCGTGTGCGTGTGCGTGTGCGTGTGCGTGTGCGTGTGCGTGTGCGTGTGCGTGTGCGTGTGCGTGTGTGTGTGCGTTGTGTGTGAATGTGAATGTGAATGTGAATGTGAGTGTGAGTGTGAGTGTGAGTGTGAGTGTGAGTGTGAGTGTGAGTGTGAGTGTGAGTGTTAGGGAGGTGGGGGGAGGGGCAAGAGGGGGCAGCCTTCTAAGTGGCCGGGGGGGGGGCCTTCGAAGGCAGGGGGCCGCCCTGCGACGGCGTCCTGGAGGCTTCCCAGAAGCAGCGGGGGCGCCCGAGTTTCTAAGATCAGGTCGGGCGTGGCCTCCCACGCGGACTTGGAGCGACAAAAGCAGTCCACAACAGCACTTCAAAGTGTTCCACGAATCGTCCCCCGGTTTTTTTTTGGTTGGCCTATTTTTGAACATGTTCCTCCTACAGGGGGGCAGGCCCGACTGCATTCTAAGATCGGGGGCGGAAAAGAGGGGGGTGCTGACTAGGGGGGGGGGATATCGTGGCGTGGGCCAGGATATTTCCCCCGGTGTCATGGCGCCTCTTCTTACTTCCTTGCGCTCCTGGCCCCCCCGCGGGGCCGCGCACGTGCCGCCGGTCATGAGTTGCACCCCCCCCCTCTTGGACACCCCCCTGGAGGAGGAGGAGGAGGAGGAGGAGGAGGAGGAGGAGGAGGAGGAGGAGGAGGAGGAGGAGGACCCTCCTGGCCGCTCCCGATAAGAGGCCCCCCCCAGCCTTGGCACGGGAGGCCCCCGCCCTCGCGCCACAGCCCCCCCCCCCTTCCTCGCGCTGCCGGCAGGGGGGAGGAGGCCGCGCGGCCCCGGTCCGAGCCGGCCTCTGCCACGCGCCGCCCCCCCCTCGCGCGACGCACCGTTCGGGTTGGCCCAAGACGCGGGGTCCAGCGACGATCGGGCCGGGCGAAAGGGGGGGGGGGGATTGGGAAAGGGGGGGTCACGAAATTGGGGGGAACGGGAGGGGAAGATGGGGAATAGCAAGTGATTACATGGCACAGCAATCGGTTGCAGAAGATGCACAATACATGGCACAGCATTACCAGGACTTGCCGTGCAAATACTGGTGGATCGGTGACACCTTACATCCCTCTCAAGCGTTAGCAAAGCGCTGACCGCTCCAAGTGGGGGAGCCGGGGGGGGAGACGAAGACCCAGGAAGAGGGGGGGAGCATAGGGGCCGGGCGGAAGGGGAGGCGGCGGCTCCGATCCGAGCCGGCCCGTGCCACACGCGCCGCCCCCCCAGCGCGACGCATCCAGTCGGGGCCCTGAAGAAGGAACCCTTTTCGTTGGGGAGGGGCTCCGTGTTCCTTTCAGGAGGAAAAGAAACACACAGACACAATTAATCCTCGATTCCCCAGAAAATATGAGAAAATATGGGAAGTGGGGGGGAAGACAAAAACCCGGAAAATATAGGAAAATATGGGGGATATTTTTATTTGTGTGTATTTATTTGTGTGTCCTGGGGCCCCTTCATCCTTGATTGTTTCGCATCTTGCCTTGGGTTCCCCTTAGGTTTTCGATGCGAAGTCGAAGTGCAGCGTATGGAAAGAAGGGGCCGCGTTCCTTATGTTGGGTTCCTTAGGTCACGGCCCCGACTGTAATTCGGGTTGACCCAAAGGGCGACAATCGGGCCGGGCGAAAGGGGGGGATCGGGAAAGGGGGGGTTACGAAATTTGCTGCATGCAGCTGGTTTCGGCCTCACCGAGGGGCCCCTTCCTCGACACATAGCCGCCTCTGGCGCCGGGAGGCGCCGGGAAAATCAGCTACGTGAGCTGATTCTCAACCCCCTCCTTTGCTATCCCCTCCTTTCGCCCGACCCGAGACAAGGGGGTGGTGCAAGAGATTTGTGGGGTTGCAATACATGTGTGGGGCGTGCAGTATGTTCCAGGGGGCAAATGTCTTGCTGGCTTCTCGCGTGCAACACATTACTTGCAATAGAATGCAATCCAATTCTCCGGCGCAGCACGTTTGCAATACAGTTGCCCCAAATCTATTGCACCACCCCCTTTTCGGCTGGACCCCCTTTTGGGTCACCCAAGCCAGCGCGACGCATAGACGGGGAGGAGCAGAAACGATTACCTTTAAGTCAGGATCATCCCTGCACAGGAGGAATATTCAAAGATAGTCAAGAAGTAGTCTGGGGACGATTTGTTGGAGGATTGTTTGGCCATTTTGGTCAGAGTGAGGGGGCTGAACCGAACGATCATTCACTGTCCCTGGGTGCGTGGCTGAAGTGAAATTCCGCGATGCGGATTCTTGTTGTCGTTGTTGTTGTTGTTGTTGTTGTTGTTGTTGTTGTTGTTGTTGTTGTTGTTGTTGTTGTTGTTGTTGTTGTTGTTATTGTAGATGTTGCTGTTGTTGCTGCTGCTGTTGTTGCTGTTGCTGTTGTTGTTGATGTTGTTATTATTTGTTGTTTGTTGTTTGTTGTTTGTTGTTGTCGTCGTCCCACCCGCGACTCACCCGCGACCCACCCCGCGACCCACGCGCGACCCACCCGCCACCCACCCCGCGACCCACCCCGCGACCCACCCCGCGACCCACCCGCGACCCACCCGTGACCCACCCGCGACCCACCCCGCGACCCGCCCGCGACCCATCCCGAGACCCCCCCGGCGACCCACCTGCGACCCCCCGGCGACCCACCCGCGACCCACCCGCGCCCCACCCCGCGACCCACCCGCGACCCACCTGCGACCCACCCGCGACCGACCCGCGACCCACCCGCGACCCACCCGCGACCGACCCCGCGACCCACCCAAAATTTCCGGCGCCTGCGGCGGGTTTCTTTTGCATTCGTTCCAGGTGGAGAACCTGCGACCCACCCGCGACCCAAACCGCGCCCGCGACCCACCCGCGATCCACCGCGACCCACCCGCGACCCACCCCGCGACCCACCCAAAATTTTCGGCGCCTGCGGCGAGCTTCGTTTGCATTCGTTCCAGGTTGAGAACCTGCGACCCAAACCGCGTTCAGTGTACAAATCAAAATTTTCGGCGCCTGCGGCGGGCTGTTTTTGAATTTCTTCCAGGTGGAGGTGGAGAGCCCGCGGCCCACCCGCGACCCAAATTACGTTCACTGAACGAGCCAAAACTTCGGCGCCTGCGGCGGGTTTCTTTTGCATTCGTTCCAGGTGGAGAACCTGCGACCCAAACCGCAATCAGTGTACAAATCAAAATTTTCGGGTTGTTTTTTGAATTCCTTCCAGGTGGAGGTGGAGAGCCGGAGACCCACCCGCGACCCAAACTACGTTCATTGAACAAGCCAAAAATTCGGCGCCTGCGGCGGGCTGTTTTTGCATTCGCTCCGGATGGCCCACCAGCGATCTCCCCCGCGCTGAACTTGTCAGAGCACGCAAATCGGCGCCTGCGGCGGGCTTGCTCGCATTGGTTTGGGAAAACGCCATCGTGCCATTCCCCCGATCCGGCCCACGTTGACTCTACAACAGCACATCGGCACCTGCGGTGGGGCTGTGTCTGAACACGCTCATTCACAATCCAGCTGCCTGCTGCAATTCGGCATCCGTGCCCAAAGCACGGAGGAGGAGGAGGAGGAGGCGGAGGAGGAGGAGGAGGAGGAGGAAAAGGAGGAAGAGGAGGAGAAGGTGGAGGAGGAGGAGGAGGAGGAGGGGGAGGCGGACGACGATGACGATGACGATGAGGACGAGGACGCGGACGAGGAAGAGGAGGAGGAGGAGGAGGAGGAGGAGGAGGGCGCCATCGACTGGGAAGGTGAGGGCCACGAGGTCCGCCGGCTCGACGCCCGCGTCGCCCGCGCCCGCCCCCTCACTCTTATCCGCAATTGCGGGGTGCTACGGTATATATTTTGACTATGTTTTGTTGTTCGCCCCAAATCGGCCTGCAGAGGGACACGCCCGACCTACGAGTACGTGGAAGGAGCGCAGAAGGATACGGCGCAGACAGTGAAATCGTGCCCCCACGGGAAGAGGAAGAGGCGGGCCTGCGCTGGGAGAGGGGGGCGGGGGAGGAGGAGATCGCGATGACAGCGGTCGCGGTGATCGGCTTGTGGCTGTCGCGCTCGGAGCGCGGTGACGGGCCTCGCGGTCGGAGCGGCGATCCGATCTCCTGATCCCTGACCCCCCTGCGCTGTGTGTCGGCCGTGCGCAGCAGGGGGTATGGGGTAGGGGGGCAGGCGTCTTAGCAGCGCCCCTGCATCTTGGAGGGCGCGGGCCCTGTCTGCGGATGGAAGGCCGACGCCTTCTCGGGAGCAGCCTCCTTCTGAGAGGCCGTCCCCCCTCCCCCCTACCCCCTGCTGCGCGCCGCCCACTTGTGCACAGCCTCGGCCCCCGCAGAGGTCCCGGCCCCGTCCTGGGGATGGCAGCAGGTCGTTCAGCCAGGGTCGCCCTTTGGCGGTCCAGAGGGCCCTGCGAGGGCCCCCAGAGGCCGAACACCGAGAAACAAAAAAAACGTCCGCGAAGCGAGGCGGTCTGCTGTCGCCGAGGCGGGGATTTACACGTCACCACCGCCTGGAGGACCGAATCCCGCGGGCCTCCACGGGCAGGGGACGTGGACATTTTGATCTGCGGGGCGAGAGCGAACCTCTTCCGCTAAAAGCTCAGCGGGACGCGCACAGCTTTCATTATCAGAGAAAGGGCAGAGGGACGTGGACACACACGCGGCCCCCACGGGGGCCAAAAAAGGCATCCACGTCCGCCGCCCGCGGGGTGCCCAGGGCCTCGGCTCCCAGGCGCTGGCCGCGGAGAAACCCGCGCCTCGCGGCATCGGGCGGCGCGCGCTCCGCCGCTCCGCCCCTCTGCGCCTGCGGACGGCCGAGGGCGGAGCCCGCAGAGGAAGCTCGCGGAGAGCCAGGCCGCCGCGATGCCGCTCGCCGCGGGCCCGGCCGACGCCTGAGGCCGCCGCGCCAGGCCCGCAGCCACGAGCACACGGTCTGCCGCCCGCGCTTTGGCGGGCGGCGCGCGCGGCAACCCTCTGACCGTCGGGGCGAGGTATTCGAATACGGGGCGTGAAAACAACCACAGCCACTGCTTTTCCTTTGTTGCCGCCTTCCAGCCAGCAGAAACAAAGCAGTGGTTGTGGTGATTTTCGTTAAGATTGGCACAAGGGAAATGACCACAACCACTGCTTCTTTTTCGGCCGGCTGGACGGTGGCGCAAACAAGAAGCAGTGGCGGTGGTCATTTTCAAGTCCCGCATCGAGGAAGGAGAGACCACATAAGCATAAACTTTTGGCGCTCCGCGCCGATTTTCTTGGATCCGCGCCGGGCCCCCCTGGCGGCGCCTCTGGTGGCGCCGCCCCTGGCGCCCTCCGCGCGCCAGCGAGGGGGGGATCCTGCGCGGATCCAAGAAATCGGCGCGGAGCGCCAAAAGTTCATGTTCATGTCATGTTTTTTTCTACTTCTAGGTATGAGATCGAGGTCGGCGCGGGGAGGATACGATGCCCTGCCCTGATGCCCTTCGAGCTTGTGGGATATCCGTGCGCATCCTGGGGAGGGCACCCTTGGATGTTCTATGTGCTCTGGCCGACGGAGGGTCTCGCGTTCTCGGATCAGGGGGGGGGGGGAGACCACCAGGACCCGACAACTGGCGTGTTTTAGACGGCTTTGGGGCGTTTGCTAGAGAGCCCTGCCCTGTTCGAGTCCTTCTTTGGGTGCGTTTGCGAAACGGCTTCGCGTGGCGGGGTGACTCTTCTGAGGGTGGGCTGTCTGCTCTCTTTGGGAGGGTGCTCTTCTGTCCCAGGTCCGACTGTAGCAGGCTCACCCTCAGACCCAGGCGCTGCAGCCAGAAAGCTGGAACTATGGCGGCCGGCTTTTCGCAGTTTTCGGCCGCTGCACTCGGGAGTCTTGGGAGGAGTCCATGCAAACGGGGGTCGGCCAGGGCGCTGGATCTTGCAGGATCCTGCAGGGCCAGGGGGTGCACGGACCCAGGCTTGGGCGCAGGATCCTGTAGGATTTTGCAGGATCCCGCAAAGCTGAAGCCGGGCCTGTCCCTCTACAGGAGGAATTTTCAAAAATAGTCAATAAGTAGTCGGGGGACTATTTTGTACCATGTTTTGATTATTTTGAAAATATGTTTGGGGATCTGTTACATTTGTGGTCCAAAATCCGCCTGTAGGGGGACAGGCCCGACCTAATGCAAAGCTTGACTGACCCGTGTCTGGATTGACCCAGGTCAGTAGATCGCCGATGCATGGGGGGCGTCTCCCCACGTTCTGGGACCGTCATGAGTGGCGCGGGATGAAGATCCGGCCCGGGGAAGGGGTCGGGGTTCCTGAGGGCCGACGTCGCACAAAAAAAGCAACTTCGGAAGGGAGGGCTCTTCGAAGAAGAGAAGTTGGCACAGACAGAAGATGTTGGGAGGTTCGCGAAGATTTCTTGGGGATCTGAGCCGGCCCCCCCCCCCCAACGGAAGCGCTTGCGCGGGGTGGGGCACGTCGGGGCGGGCGCCAGCAAAGCGGAGGGAGAGTTTAGCCATCTACGCACACGCACGATAGTGACGGTTACCCCAGGGGGGGGTCGCCCGGGTAACGACCGCAACGCGCCAGAGGGTGAAGAAAAACATGTCCTCGCATCCGCGCGTTGAGGCAATAGGCGGAGGGTCCTAGAGCGCCGGGTTGTGAAGAAGCGCCCGTCCTGATTTTTCACGACGGCTGGATGGCAGGGTTCTCCCGAGGCAACTCGCTTGTCCTTCCCGTCGGCACGTTTGTTGGCATGAGCATGCAATCCAGCCGCATAAACGTAAAAACGGAGGGAGCAGAGAGGAAGGACGGCTCTTGATTGACGTCGGTATTGTTTGAGTCGTTCCCCATCGGGATGCGATATTGTGAGTGTCACCTTTGTTTTTCGGCATTCTGGAGGTTTGCGCCATTCCGCTTGTCCTCAAAAGGTAGAATGGATTTAGGAAGGGGGTTGGTGTTGTTGGGGGGAGGAGCGGGAGGAGGAATCAGGACGAGGAGAACCAAAAGGAGGAGGGGGAGGATTCTGGAGGTGAGGAGGCAGGAGGGTGAACGCCGACTCACACAGACGGGAATGTAGAGCCGCGGGGAAGGCAGGAGGAAGGGAACAGCCGGGTGCAGTTGTTTTGATCCGCGGGGCGAGGAGAACCAAAAGGAGGAGGGGGAGGATCCTGGAGGTGAGGAGGTAGGAGGGCGAACGCCGACGAGGAAGGGAACAGCCGGATACAGCTTTTTCTGATTCGCGGGACGAGGAGAACCAAAAGGAGGAGGGGGAGGATTCTGGAGGTGAGGAGGCATAGGAGGGCGAACGCCGACGAGGGAGGGAGCAGCCGGATACAGCTTTTAATTTGATTCGGTGGCCGAGGGCGCACCTCCTCCGGCAGCAGCCCGAGACAGTCAAAAGTCGCTGAAGTCAGGCCCGCCTCGGGCTCGGGAGGGGCGCCTGGCTCGCGGGCCGCTCCCGGGGTCGAGGTCGGGGGAGACCCCTTCTCGTGGCCGAGGCTGGCCGCGTCCAGCGAGGAGCCCCTTCGCCGTGGCATCGCTCGGACGTGTGCACTTTTTCCCTCGGCGAGGACCCTCGAGTCGGGGGAGCGTAAGACCCGGGTTTGCCGGGACTCGGGTTCGCCATCGTTTTTTGACGACCGCGCCTCGGATTTTGACGAGGAGGAGTTTCGTGGGACGTCTGCAGCGGGAGGCCTCGTCAAAATGCAGGCTCGGCCTCGTCATTTTTTTGACGACCTCGTCGGGCCAACCCGAGTCCCCCGTACCCGGGTCTTACGTCTCCCCGATCGAGGAGCATCCTTGATCATTTGACGGAAAAATCCACGCACGAAGCCGAAGAAGAAGCACAGGGAATGGACGTCCGAGCGATGGCCAGTCGCTCTTTACGGGTGCAGTTGTCCGTTTTCTTCTATGTCAGCGCGGGGGCAGTGCGGCCAGGAGCTCTTGCCGAGGAGCGCATCGCTCTGCCGATGCTGGCCCACCATGCTCCAGCGCGACACGCTTCAGGGGAGGAAAGACACACAGACACCATGGATCGTCGATCCCCCACACAAAACCTTTGAACATACGGGCAGTGGGGGGGAAGACAGAAACCCAGAAAGTATGGGAAGATTCGGGAAAGCCTTCTAGTTGGTGTGTATTTCTTTGTTCAGAGCGTGAATTACCTACCCCGCTTTCGCTTCCAGGCAAAACCAAGCCATACCACGCGCCTCCTCGTCAAGCGGCCTGACCAGTACAGGCTGCAATTTGGCATCGTTTGGTATCTCTTGGAAGCGAGGGTGGTCAAAAGCGAGGTAGGTTTGTGTTCCCCCTATTTGTGTGTCCCAGGGCCCCCATCAACGCTATCCGCATCCCCATCCCCGCTCCCAGGGCGCCACCGCCCCGAGCTGCTCCGAGAGCCTCCCGCACCCGCGGCGCGGGGAGCGCAAGGGCACGGCGTGCCGCCGGGGCCGCCGCCGCGACGCGCGGAGCGCAAGGGCTCCCTCCTCCTCCTCCTTCTCCTCCTCATCCTCCTCCCCCTCCTCCTCCTCCCCTCCTCCTCCTCCTCCTCCTCCTCCCCCTCCTCCTCTCCCCTCCCCTCCTCCTCCTTCCTCCTCCTCCCTCCTCCTCCTCCTCCTCCCCCTCCCCCGACCGCCATCCCGTTCCCCGGCTCGCTCTGCCGCCTCTGGCACAGCGGGGGGCGGCGGGTCCTCAGCGCCTGGCTGCGCGCCGCTCGGAAGCCCGCAGTTTCCCGCCCGCGGGCGCGCCCCCCCCGTGGCCCATCCCCGCTGCTCGGCTCGGTGGGGCTGCTTCCTCCTCGGACCTCCCACGTCGTCGTTCTCCCGCGGCGGGGGTGGCACCGGAGCTCGCGACGGCGCGCCCCCCCCCCCCCCACGGACTGGTGGTGGTGCCAGGGCCCAGGTGCGGCCCCGCCGTCGCCGGAGCGGCCAGTCAGAGCCCCGAGTCATCAGGGGTAACTCGGGTCAGGGCCAACTCGGGTTGGTTTTTCTCAAGGGCAGGAAAAACGTCCCGACCCTGGTTTACGAGGCGCTGTGCGCTGAAACTCCTGTGCGCTGACAGGGTAAGCCCTGCGTGATGTGCCGCGCCCTGGCGGCTCTAGGCTTTGGGGGTGCCCAGGAGGTTTACAGACCACGCATTTGTAACCCAGGGTAGGGTCGTTTTTTCATCCCTCAATTTTCGGGAATCCGAACCCGAGTTAGCCCGGACCCGAGTTGCCCCGGATAATTCGGGCGTCCAGAGCCCCGAATCATCAGGGGTAACTCGGGTCAAGGCCAACTCGGGTTGGTTTTTCGGGATTCCGAACCCGAGTTACCCCTACCCCGGACCCGAGCTACCCCGGATAATTCGGGCGTCCAGAGCCCCAAATCATCAGGGGCAACTCGGGTCAGGGCCAACTCGGGTTGGTGTTTCGGGATTCCGCACCCGAGTTACCCCGGACCCGAGTTGCCCCGGATAACTCGGGCGCCCAAGCCAGATCGCGCCGGTCGTGTGTGGTTGTTTTTCCCCGTCGCCGGAGGTCTGGGTTCTCCCGCGCGTGCGCGCGGTGCGATGTGGCTGTGCCGTGGTCGAGCCATTCTTGGCAGCGAGGCTGCAGCGGGACGGCCCTCGCCCCCTCATCGTCCTCTTCCTGTCGTCCGCCTGGCCATCCTTCTCCTCGCCCTCTTTGTCTGCCGCGCTCGTCCCCTCGTCCTCCAGTTCTTCCTGTGCTCACTCTTCTCCTCGCCTCGTGCACTACCGCCCCTGTCGGCACACTGCTGGCAGCCGCCGAGTTTGTCGAGGCGCCAGCTCCAGGTCTCATCCTTCTCGTTGTGCTCCTCACCCCACTCATCGCCCTTCCCTGCTTTCCCCGGCAACGAGCATTTGCATGCGCACACCGCTTCCTCCCTCGCCGAGCGCGTTCCACTACTCGCAAAGTGCCTACTCGCAAAACATCCGAAAAATATGTGGTTGCCTCGGTGTAAAGATATATCGTACATCCCCCGCGGCGGATCCACGCCATTTGCGAGTAGTTACTTTGCGAGTAGTGGAACGCGCTTGTCGAGTCTACTCCCTCTGTCAGTGATTCCGGCAGGGGTACTGCCCCCTTCTCTCCCCACAGTGCCGCATCGGACCGCCCCCTGTGGGATAGGCCGGGCAGACCCGCACAGTTCTCCCAACAGCGTGCTTCCGAGTCACACTTCCCCTCCTCTGGTCCCTCTTCCATCCCTCTCCTCGTCCTCTGCCTCTTCCTCTGCTTTATTATTCCTCCTCCTCCTCCTCCTCGTCCTCCTCCTCCTCCTGCTCCTGCTCCTGCTCCTGCTCCTC